TCTGAAATGCCACCCTCAGTTCTCAGCCTCCCAAGCAGCTAGGATTAGAAGTGTGAGCCACTGATACTTAGCTTGTGAAGTGTTTTTTTTTTATTTGTTTGTTGTTTGTTGGTCATGGGGCTTGACCTGAGGGCCTGGGTGCTGTCCCTCAGCTCTTCAGCTTGACTAGCGCTCTACCACTTGAGCCATAGTGCCAGTTCCAGTTTTCTGGCGGTTAATTGGAGATAAGAGTCTCATGGACTTTCCAGAGTCTCATGGACTTTCCTACCCAGTCTGGCTTTGAACTAGGATCCTCAGATTTCAGCCTCCTGAGTAGCTAGGATTATAGGCATGAGCCACCAGCACCTGGCTTGCAAAGTATGTTGACAGCTCATCTGTCTTCTTGAGGGTGTGACTAGCAGATTCAAAGGATCATTTATAAGTGAGGCAAAGGTGAGGTTACAAACATTCCCTCAGCCTCTCCAAACAGAGCCTGGCCCCTGAGGAAAACTTTCCTCCGTGTTGAGATTGGGCATCAAGTATTTGTTGTAGGCATGAGTGAGAGGTGAACGGACCATTTGTGGGAATAAGGGTGATGGTGAAGGTGAAAGAGGACATCTCTGGTTCATTCTGTTGGGCAAAGGACGGAACCCTTTCCCTCCCAATGGGACCCTGCCTCTGACCCAGATTTGCAAGCATATTCAACAAGGGAGACAAGAGTTGAGATCTGAGGAGTTCTTAATTTAAAAAAATGGCATTTGAAATCTAGTATAAAAGTAACAAGAGGGGAAAGTCCCTGGAGTATTTTTGTAGGACTTAATATGTTCTGCATAAAAATGAACTCAATGATTCTGGGCCGGGGAGGGCTGGAATGTGCCTGGGAAAGCAAGAACGGAGGGGTAGAGAGGACAGTGCAGATCAGAAGATCTGGGCTCAAATCTTTACTTCCCAAGTACTTGGCTGGTCACCTGGAAAATTTGCTTGCCCTTTTGTGTCCATTTATGGGGTACCCTGGAACCGGAAAGCTGGGTATTCACATCTCTTTCCAGATGTATCGGCTGTGGTGGGATCTTAACACTGCAGGAACAGGCAAATCCCCGCTCCCCTTGACCTGAGACTTGCTAAATGATGTGTCACTGCATGTTCTTAATTTGTGTAATGATATTGACAATACCTATCTGATCCAAAGTATCAATCCAGAGAACTCACAGAACAATACAATATGTTACTATGTGAGCATTTTCTCTCTCTCTTTCTCAAGCCAGGGAATATTAGCTATATGGTTCAGATGGCTCTTTGGGGAGGGGTACAATTTCACTGTCGTAGTGATTTGTGTCACCATCCTGTGGACTAGACTGGCTGCCAATCTTGGCTCTTTGGAAGCATTCCTTTTGGAAGTCCTGGTCAGACTTCTATTCCCAACTCTCCATTCCAAATGCTCCCCCAGTGTTCTCGCTCTCCTCCAATCCCCAGAGTGGTGTAAAGTGGGGTGTCCCTTATTAGTCAGGTACTGGGCCCAAATGAGCTGCCCCACTGCCAACATCTCACATATTTGAACCTCATTTGCCTTTGCTGTTGCAGACTCTGCCTAGGATTATCTAGGCCTTTCATGAAAATATATCTCGAATCACAGGACACAGGCTTAGGGCTTTGACTCTCTCCTCCCCAGACCCCCTCTGCTTCCCTTGGAAAGGGCTTCACCTCTCCATCCAGAACCTCCTTTTTGCCGGTTGGAGACCTCAGTGTGGAGCCAAAGACATCACTTCTCAACTTCGACCAGTGCAGGACAGAAACAATATGTATTATGTTCCTACACAGCCTGTCAGTTGGATGGCTGAGGAGTGGCTACAGGATTTCCCCACTGTACTAACTTAAAGAACTGAGGCACTCTGAGGAATTATGGGTCTTTTTTCAAGGCCACAGTGTGAGTCAAAGAAAGAAGGGAGTTTTGTTCAGTTGCAAGAACCTTTGCCACAATTGCAGGACCATTAGTGAGTCTATAGATAAAACCCTATTTCCCATTTTTTTTCTCTATCTGGACTCTTTTGAGGTAACTGGTCTTAGTCCATCTTCTGTTGTTATACCAGTTACCCAAGATGGGGTAATCTATAAACAAAAGAGATTTTGGTTTAAGATTCTGGAAATCCAAGAGCCTAGTGCCAGCACTTACCAGGCCTTTGATAAAGGCCTTGGGTATGGTATAAGGGCAAGCAAGTGCATGCAAAGAGGAGGGGACAAAGGTGACACAGACATAATAAGCTGCTCTTCTGGTAACCCGCTATGATGGGAACTGCATTAATCCCTTCATGAAGGCTCAAACACTTCCTGAAGGCCCTATGATGTCTCAATTCTGTCACATTAGCAATTAAATTTCAATGTGAGTTTTGTTGGGGACAAATCACACCCAAACACTAGCAAGTCTTACTTGGCATGCCACGTGTGGGCAACTGTTGAGAGGTGGCTGGAGACTTTTTCTACACTCTTTAATTGGTTGGTATGCAAACTGCATTTTATGGAATTCTGGGCTCAGTGGTGTCTCCCTTTGTTAGGATCTTACAGGTCATTTAGCAAGAACATTTTCTCAAGAAAGAGGTCTGAAAACTTATCCTCTCAAGGACTGAGGGGTGTGCATGTGTGTGAAGACAGGAAATGGAGCGGGAGACTCTCCCTGCCCCCTTTTCTGATACTCAATATTTCCACGTGGCTTCAGTGAGGGACAAAGTTAAGGATAAAACTTGAATACAAGCAAGGGCCAAGTGTGGACTTTCAGATTGTCCCCTCCACGATTTCCAGCACCCCAGGACCTTTGGAAGTGGTAGGGAACATGAGAGGGAGAAAAAGAAGGATGCTTTCCCCGTTCTTCTGCCTACAGAGAAATTCTGGGGTGACGGGGGGGGGGAGGGGGAGGTGAAAAGGTCATACTTTTTTTTTCCAGAGTCATGGATGAGAATACAGTTACTCAATGTATCAGCAAAAAGTAAATCTTGTGAGTGAAATAAGTGATTAAGTGATGTCAGAAAAAAATATTGTAAAATGCCTCGGCCTTTGGTGCCCAGGCCTAGGCCTAAAAAGTTGTTTTCAGATGAAAGACTAATTTCTTCACTTTTTTTTTCAACCTAGGGATGGACAATGAAAACTTGACAGAATCAAACATAAAAATCTTATCTTAGCACTTCATGTCTGGCTCTTTCAGACCTTTTCAGGTCTTTCTAGTCTTCTTTTCTCCCCTTCTTTCCCTCCATCTAACTCTGGGCAGCAGAGTTAACCCTGGCTCTTTCCTTGAATGCTGAGCTTCCACACTGGGGTAGGTGTAGTGGGACAGGATGCCAGCAGAGCAGGGCTGGAGAAGGAAAGGAAGAGGGTGTTTGACTAAGACAAACCTGCCTTGGGACCTTTGTTCCACTGGTTATTGGCCACATGACCCTGAGCTAATTACTTAACCTGAGCCTGTTTTTGCCTTCTATGGGACTATGGGAGAACTGCAGGAATGGCTGTATATAAACTCCTGATCACTTCTGTGATAGGTTTCCTACTTCTCAGGTCTTTGACTATTCCTTTCCTCTGGATATATTTATTTGTGTCCTGGTGCTTTGTCAAAAGATAGATCTGGGGCTGAGAAGGTGGCTCAGCGGTAGAGCACTTGCCTTGCGTGCATGAGGCCCTGGGTTCAATTCCTCAGCACCACATAAGCAAAAAGAAAAAAGCCGGAAGTGGCGCTGTGGCTCAAGTGGTAGAGCGCTAACCCTGAGCTGAAGAGCTGAGGGACAGCGCCCAGGCCCAGAGTTCAGGACCCATGACTGGACCCAAAAAAAACAAACAAACAAACAAAAAAAATAGATCTGGAAGGAAATATGAGCTCCTGGTAATGCATGAAACTTGGTGACCAGTCAATGAGAAAGGAGTTGATAGCCAAGGTTAAATAAGGTTTAAAGTCAACCACTGAGTAGCCACGTGGTCAGTCAGTCCTCCCTCATGCCACTGGGGAGGAGTCAGAAGGTTGGCACAGTGAGAAGTAGCATGGGTCATACTTGACCTTGTGCTCCTTTTAAAACACACAAAGTACTCACCTTTAAAGACAAATCAAGCTGGACAGGAGACAACTGTATTTAGCCATGTATACCTTTTACTTACAAAAGTCATAGAAATAAAGTCATAGAAATTGACATAATAACAAGTAGAGATTTTGGGCATCTATGATAGGCAAGAAACCAACTGGTAGTAAAAACCATACATTAATTTTAAATTTCCATCATAGAGAAGTTAAATGACCTTTTATAGCCAAAGTAAAAACTTTTTTTTTTTTTTAAAAAAAAAACCTCTATAAACCTAAAATCCGGGGCTGGGAAGGTGGCTCAGTGGTAGAGTGCTTGCCTTGCATGCCTGAGGCCCTGGGTTCGATTCCTCAGCACCACATAAGCACAAAGAAACAAAAAGCTGGAAGTGGCACTGTGGCTCAAGAGGTAGAGTGCTAGCCTTGAGCTGAAGCACTGAGGGACAGTGCCCAGACCCAGAGTTCAGGCCCCACGACCGGACCCCCCCCCAAAAATAAAAAACAATAACAACAACAAAAAAACACCTAAACTGCTTAAATTGGTCTTTGGAACAACAATATTTTAGATTTTCTTGTCACACTTGTTCAGCCCTTGGGCTGTTGCTGTGCAATCACGAAGATAGAGCTCCTCTGAAAACTGTAACAAATAGAAATTGGTTAAAACCTGTCAATTCCTTGGAGCATTTTCATAGGAGTGCCAGCCAATCAGAAAAGGCTAGAGGAAGAGGACTGGACTGAACTGGCTTTGTAAAGTAGGTAGATTTGTCATTAGCAGGGAAGAAGTAAATGTAATCAAGGGGCCTTCAACATTTTTTGTTTGGGGGTGCATGATACTGGGACTTGGACTCATAGCTGTCCCTTAGCTATTATGCTCAAGGCTGGTGCTCTACCACTTGAGACACACCTCTACTTCCGACCTTTTTTTCTTGGTGGTTTATTGGAAATAAGTCTCATGGACTTCCCTGCTTGGCCTGGCTTTGAACAGCAATCCTCAGATCTCTTGAATGGCTAGGATTACAGGGGTGAGTTGCCTGTCATCTGTCAGGGGGTGCTTATTTTAATCTGGGGTCCATTATAATTTTAGAGACCTGTCTAAAAGGTTCTAAAATAACAGAACCCAGGGCTACAGAGAAATGACCAACACCAAATTTAACACAGGATGCTTAATAGTAGGTTCTACACAAAGCATTCCAAATTAAGCCTGTTGTCAGTCAGATTTTCTAGGTGCCTTAAGCACTTGTGAGCATTATGCTAGGCCTCAAAAGCTCAATGCGTACGTAGAAGGTTCTCAAGCATTCACTTTCTAAGGCTGAAGGGAATTTGCAGAAGGTAGCTCTGGCTCAGTGCCAGGGGTTCCCTAGCCAGGGTAGTCTAAGTGTGACTCCCAGAATTGCTGAGCTATCACTTCCCAGATGGTTGTGTTGGAACATACAGCCACAGTGGGGGCTTGTGGGCCTCTGAGCTCAGGCCAGGCCCCCCTGAGGCCGCAGCCTCAGAACTGAAAAGGGAATTGGAAGGCCTCATCCTTCCAACTCAGGTTCTTTGTGTGGCACGAGGACATTTTCTAAAAATAAAACAATATCTGAGATTACCCCTTTCCTTTACTAACACTTTTTAACCTTCTCTAAAATCCACCTGCACTTTCCACTGCCACCAAACCAAAGCAGCTGTCACCAGGCTGACACTCCACACAAGGCAGATGGAGCCAATGAACAGCTGAGAACGCCCCCCCCCCCCAGTCCCTTATTGGCTTGTGATTTATAATACCACAGGTGTTTAGGGAAAAGGCCAGAACTTAATAACCATGGATACCAAGCCAGGGGGAAGACACAGACGAGCTTTGCCCTACCATCCTGGCCAGAGGGGCCTCTTGAGGTGGCCAAGGCTCATTAGACCTTGGACATTGTGCTTTTGAAAACAGGGCTGTCCTTTTCTTCCTAGCCAGTGAGGTGAAGACCTGCCTGGAATCCTTGCTGCTGGGATTTGTTTTTTGTGTGAACAAAGAACTGGGTCTGTCTTCCTGAGCCCCAAGTCCAGAGCACAAACCATTGAGATGTGGACCTGGGCTGACAAAGTGATCTCCCTGTGTCCCTGTGTGACCCATGTCTTCAAGAAGAAGCCAGGTGTGGTGGTGCACACCTGTGCCTGCAATTCGAGCATTCAGAAGGCTGTGGTAGGAGGATCATGAGTTTCAGGCCAGCCTCGGCTACATGGGAAACTCTGTTGGCCCCTTTCCACCAGAAAGGACGTTAATGTGTATAAAGGGTCCCTCGAAATGGGGATTTTGGTGGCAGCAGTAACATGAGAGAGCCAATGATTAGACCCAATGGATCAAGAGTCACCTTGACAGTTGTCTCTGTAGACAGACAGCACTGATGATCACTGTTTTGGCTCCTGGGACCAGTTAACCCTATATTTCTCCTTACATCTCCTTGACCTCCAGGGGGAAAGTGTGTGTGTGTGTGTGTGTGTGTGCTCCCTCTGCCATTTTGACAAGATGAGAGCTAAGATCAGATTCATTGAGGAAAGACCTATTTCTCTTTATACCCAAGTTTTGCTGTGTATGGTTTTTTTTTTTACCCTTCTGTCTTTGTTCCTGACTTACAAAGAAGCCAAAACCCACAAGGTTAACTTCTAGGCAACGTTTAGCAGGTACTGCAGGTCACCAAGATATAGCTATGTGCTGGGCCACAAAGCAATCTTGGTATCATCCTCTCCTTCAATAGAAAAGGCCACAAAGACCCCTGACACTTCAGTTTAGCACAAGGAAAAGTAAGGCCAGGGCTGGGCCAGCAGTGTGCCCAAGTGAGGTGAGGATCCTGGTATCCATGGGTGAATATTTTCTATGAGTCTGGAATCTACCCACTGGGGAAGCCACGGTGCCCAGGGAGAACTCTCCATGTCCAGTAGGCCAAGCAGGCAGCCAGCTTCCACTCAGTCCTGGCCACCTGTCAATTTATGAAAGAGGTCCTCATCAAGGGTTTCATTCTGGTCCTTGGAACGGGTAGACAAGAAAATGTAGCCACCAATGTACTCGTGCACAATCTTGCAATCTGCACTCAGGCAGGTGAAGGCGATGGAGACATTTTGATCAAACTCGATGGCTACCTGGAGGAGGAAGGCATGGATAGGCTTAAACTCTGACAAGGAAGGATGAGAAAGAAGTCGTTTTGCTGGAGATGGCTCTGGAGAGCTGAGACTGCAGAGGTGGCCAACAGGTGGCCCCATCCTTCAATCTGACACTTTGGGAAAACGTGACTTCTTTGCGCCCTCTTGTGGTGCACATTTTTATGCACACCTGACAAAATACTCCCGTCTCCCAACACATATCCAATCCATCTATCTGTTCCATCTACGGATATAGATATAGAAATTTCCTAAGCCCTCCTGTGGTGAGGAACAGAATGTTTGAAGAATAGAGAATTATAGATCTGGCTGAATGTTCCAATAGCCACTGACTCTCCTTTCCCAGAGGAAAGTCATAAACTCTAAGCACCTGAAGACTTAAGAGATTCAGCTGGCTCTCATTTTTGTGCAATGCTCACTGGAACCATCTGTGGATGGTTAAGACTGATGCCCAATTCCTGCTCCTAGATTTAATTGGTCTTGGGTGTGGACGGGACTGTAGTATGTTAAAGTTGCCTAAAAGGGATTTTTGTTTTGGTTTGGTTTGGTTCTGGGGTTTGAACTCAGGTCCTTGTGCTTGCTCTGAAGGTGCCCTATCACCTGAGCCATATTCCTTTTTTGAATGTCGTCTTGCTTCTTCTTAGGCTGGCTAGAACCATGATCATCCTAGTTATGCTTCCTGTGCTTCTGGGGTGGCAGGTACATGACACAACATCCAGCTTTTATTGGTTGAAATGGAGTCTTAGGAACGTTTTGAGCTCTTAGGAACCCAGGCTGGCCTTAGACTTCAATCCTGACCTCAGCATCCAAAGTAGTGAGGATTAAAGGTATGGGCCACCATGCCTAGCTTGCCAGAAGATCTTAAAATGCTTTAAGGTGCTACAGCAACTGCCTTGGATATCATGTAACCTCTGACTTTCCTTCAGCACATGTGTTCATAGATGGTGGTTAATGCTACTAAGAGGAATCCAGGGTTCTAAAACAAAGTAGGGGGTGGTGGTCTCTTTTTATTCCTTTATATTATAGACTTGTACTGGAAAAATGAGAATGGCAAAGGAACAAGGATTCCAAATTAGCAACATCAGGTTGTTCGGAGTTAGCAGTCCCTTGCTAAGGATGTAATTTTCATCCAGAATCTTCTACCATGTAGGCTAAACCTTTTTTTTTTTTAAAAAAAAAACCATTCCTGGGACTTTTTTCTTTGCCATTCCTCAGGGCCTGGATGCAGTAAGGCTAGTGCTCTACCACTCGAGCCACAGAGTTACTTCTGGCTTTTTCTGAGTAGTTTTATTAGAGCTAAGAGTCTTGTGACTTTTCCTGCCAGGGCAGGCTTCAAACTGTGATTCTTGTATCTCAGCCTCTTGAGTAGCAAGGATTACAGGTGTGAGCTAAGCCTTTCCCAGTTACTCTGTGCATCCACTTGCTCCTTCAGGCAGGTAGCTGAGACTTTGGGGCTACAACCAGTTAGATCTCTCTCTCTCTCTCTCTCTCTCAGATGAGGCCTTGTTTGGATTTATTTTGCATAGTAGTTCTAGCGAGTGTGCTTTCTGCTAACTAATGATCAGCCTGAATCTCATATAATCCTCTGAAAACTAAACTGCTCAGCAATTTTAGCCTAGCTGTATGGCAAGTCTTCACAGAAACTCAGCCAACTTGTGATGTTAATGACTGGTTTAAGTAGACAATTACTTACATGCCTGTGGTTTCTTAATTCTAAATTTCAAAAATCAGAATAATCTGAAATTCTAAGGCAACACACTTTTGTATGCATTCAGCCCAGACTACCAGAAACTTCTATTTTACCTGCCGGATTTCCCAGTTTACATTCCATTGTTTCATATTGGTGAATCTCCATGTTGTAATTGGAATCCCAGTGATGGCATCAATTCGAATCAACCGATTGTATGAAATCCCCAGAATGTCATCTTTCTTGCTTCCTCTAAATCTGAAGAGAAAAAATATAACACTAATTAGGAGAAACAATTGTAATTCACAGGCAATTTCTTAAAGCATGGATAAGAACATTTCTAAATTATCTTGGAAGGAGAATAAGGGATTAGCCTTCAAAAGGATGGTATTTTTACTATGAAGCTGGGCACTGATGCTCACACCTATAATCCTAGCTGAGATCTGAGGATTGTGGGTTGACACCAGCCAGGGAAAGAAAGTCTGTGAAACTCTTTTCTCCAATTAACTACTAAAAAAGCTGGAAGTAGAGCTGTGGCTCAAGTGGTAGGGTCAGCCTTGAGTTAAAAAAAGCTCAGGGAGGGGGTTGGGAAGGTGGCTCAGTGGTAGAGCGCTTGCCTTGCATGCCTGAGGCCCTGGGATCGAATCCTTAGCACCACATAAACAAAAAGAAAAAAGCCGGAATTGGCGCTGTGGCTCAAGTGGTAGAGTGCTATCCTGGAGCTGAAGAGCTGAGGGATAGCGCCTAGGCCCAGAGTTCAGACCCCACAACCGGACCCCCCCAAAAAAAACAAAAACAAAAAGCTCAGGGACAGCTCCCAGGCCTGAGTCTAAGCCCCAAGATCTCCAGACTAACACATATAGACACATAGACACAAAGATAGGCAAAGAACAGAGAGAATTAGGCTATCTTGAAGACATTATTATTATTTTAGTGGTGGTCCTGGGGTTTGAACTCAGATGAGCTCTTGCTCAGCTTTCTTGCTCATGGATGGTACTCTACCACTTGAGCCACATCTCCAGTCCTGCTTTTTGTTGGTTAGCTGGAAATGGAGTTGGGAACCCAGGAGACTCGGTAGGATCACACTGGACCTGACTCTGGTAGTGTCAGTGGGATAATGTTGCCAGATGTGCATGCTCTGATAGCAGAGCCCGTAGGATTTGCCAGGAGACAGGATATCAGTACAGAGAACAGCTGAGTGAAGAATGATTCTGGGGACTTTGGCCTAACACCTAGGAGAGGAGTTACCTTTAGTGAGATGTAGAATAATTCAAGGAGACAGGACAGATTTAAGGGGGAAAGATCAGGGTTTCTGGACATGATGAGATACCAGTCATTAGCTACACAAGGGAAGTTGGATGTAAGACTGTTCAGTACAAGAGAGAGCTCTGTGTTCAAGACAAAACACTTCGGAGCAATCAGCAGTTAATAGAGAGAACCTGAATAAAATGGCTGAGTCCTATAAAGGTGAGTGTAGATGGAGTGTTTTAAGACCTGAGGTCTGTGCATTGCAGTCTTCAGTGAGAAGATGAGAAAGAACCAGCAAGGAATGTCAGAGAAATGGCCAGGGAGAGAGTAGGAGAGTCAGCTGTGTTAGGAGCAAGTGGGTCAGGAGGCTTTGCTCAAGTCAGGTGCCACAGGGACCGAGAGCTGATGGATTTGCCTATGTGAAGGTCATGGATGACCAATGTGTGACCTTGATGAGACAAATTAGGGCCAGTGAAGTAGGAGGAGATCTGTTTGGAGTGAGCAGGAAAAATAAGAGAAAGGAATAGGAGATGGTGGGTGGGTGGGTACAATATGCTTAATGGGTTCTGCTGTAAAGGGTTCAGAAATGGGGGACAGCATCTCAAGGGGCATGGAAAGACAGGCTGTGATATGAATGTGGGTGTTGCAGAAGAGAAGAATGTAATTTCTAGTTGAATAGATTACCTTCTATCTTTCATCTCTTTCATATTAGTTCCCCTACCCCCAGTACTGTGGCCTGAACTCATGGCCTTGTGGTCTCCCTTAGGCTTTTTGTCCAAGGCTGGCATTCGACTTCCTGAGTCACAGCTCCACTTCCAGCTTTTTGCTGGTTATTTGGAGATAAGATATTTAATTCTATTTGCCAGACTGGCTTCAAACTCTGATCCTCAGATCTCAGCCTCCAGAGTAGCTAAGATTATAGGTGTGAGCCATTGGCCCAGTTCCTGTAACTTAATGTTTTTTTTTTAATTGTTATTATAAAGGTGAAGTACAGAAAAGTTAAAGGTACATAAGTCAGGTCAAGGGTACATAAGTTTCTTTTTGGACAATGTGCACTCTCCCAGTTTTTCCCTCCCATCCCACCTACAAGTTGTATAGTTCATTTTCAATGTCTAGTAAGTACCACTGTTGCATTTGTTTACCCTTTGTTCCTCCATTTCTGGTTACTTTTGAAAGATTACTTGTTGGGAATCATTCTCATATCTCTTACAATGCATTTTGTTACCTTCATGCTTAACATTGCAGTTAAGTTAACCTACTTCTTGCCCAACCTGCTCCTCTCCAGCATATACGAACCCTGTGGGATATTCTCTTGCCTCCAGGGAGTTGTGAAGTAGAGATTCAGGCTTCTTGGAGTGAGCAGAACCTTACACATGGAGTCTGTTCCAGACCTGGCTTCTGATCTTACCGATCTGTTGCTGTTGTTTCAGTCTCACCTCCATAAACACGTGGTGAAGATGGAATTACAGGTGATAGGAGGAAAGGGGCAAACAGTCTACAAAGAGGAAGTAATTGTCCTTGGACTTTTGCAGGGCCAACCTACATGACATGGTTTATCAGGAATGTGAATTGCCATGGATTCACTAGATTTTCTCCACAGAAGAGGTTCAGAATGCCCACTGAGCATGTGCAGGAGCTAGGGATCTATAAGGTCAGAGAAATGCCCAGGGACATAGGTAAGACTGAAGGCTAGGCTGGGTGTTCAAGTTTTTCCCACTATACAGGTCTTACTTCAGAGTTCCTAGTAAGGGTGTACATATGTGTGTGTGTCCAACACAAGTTTATTCTTCCTCATGTGGTGTGTGTGTGTGTGTGTGTGTGTGTGTGTGTGCTGCTGTTTTGCATTCTAGGCAGGCAGTCTACTTACTGAACTATATCCTTAGTCCTTTTTTTGTGCTAGGGGTTAGTTACATGGTTTAGGGTGACCTTGAATTCATGATCCTTTTGCCTCTGCTTTTTGAATACTGGGATTTCAGATGTGTACCAACATGCTTGGCTTCTCCAATTCTTTCGCTAGGATGGATAAAGCAGAATGAGCTGCTTATTTGGGACAAACAGTGGGAACAGATATTGTATGACATGTGTCAGTGCACAGAAAAGTCTGAATAAATCCCATGCTAGTTGAGTAGGAGACAATGGGTTTGGGTGAAGAGCCAAGAAAACAATGAAAAATGTATTTTTGTATAAGCCAATACTTTAAAGTACAAACCTCTCTTCTAATTTCCAAGAGTAAAACGAGAAAGTGACAGAATATCTTCTATGCTACAGAATTAAACATAAATTTTGCTTCAGCGTCAGTCTTCCTGACTGAGTAAAGACAAGAAATGTAATTTGATGTTTTTTTTTTGTCGGTTGTGGGCCTGAACTCTGGGCCTGGGCACTGTCGCTCAGCTCTTCAGCTCAAGGTTAGCTCTCTATCACTTGAGCCACAGTGCCACTTCCGGCTTTTTCTGCTTATGTGGTGCTGAAGAATCGAACCCAGGGCCTCATGCATGCAAGGCAAGCGCTCTACCACTGAGCCACCTTCCCAGCCCCAGAAATGCAATTTGATTGATTGATTGATGTTTGTCAGATCATGGAGCTTGACCTCGGGGTCTGGGCACTGGTCCTGAGCTTTTTCACTCAAGGCTAGCAGTCCTACCACTTTGAGCCACAGTGCTACTTCTGGTTTTCTGGTGGTTAATTGGAGATAAGAGTCTCATGGACGTACCTGTCCAGGCTGGCTTTGAACTATGATCCTCAGATCTCAGCCTCCTGAGTAGCTTGGATTACAAGTGCCTGGCTTGTAATTAAATTTAAAAGGATGTGTATGGTCAATATTTTGGAAATCAATCATGTCACATGCTAGGCTGAGCTATCAGATTACCAACAAGGACACTGGGTTAAATGACAAGGCGTTCCCCTGACTAGCAAGTGACCTTGACAGGTCACTGAAACTCTTTTTTTCTGTCTCAGCATTCTCATCCATAAAATACAGGAATGTAATAGAGAGCCCCCTACAGGGCTTTAAGAGCTGGAGTTCTTCAAAGGCCAAGGGGAATGAATGAATAGGTGACTACCCAAAAAGTCTAGGGGAACATTAAGATGTGGGATTTGTCTGAGCCTCTGTCTGGAAACCTAAATGTTTTATAAAGCTGCATACAGGCAGGGAGGGGAAACCTGTCAGGAAGAATGCCACAGATTGCATAAAACCAGCAGCTGGCATTTTACCCCTGGTTTTGTAAAGGTAGTTGCGCTAAAGGAAGAAAATCTGCTTTTAAGACATATTTTATTTCCCATGATTAGCTGAATCCAGGGAGTGTTAGTACTTTAGTTAGAAGGTATGGAAAGCTTTCTTTTTTCTTAGCCACACTCCAAAGTGTTTGAACTACTTTGTGAAAGGACAAAATTCTAAAATAAGAAGAGGTTGACATTTTAGGCTGAGAACAAACTAGGCTTTAAGAAAGTCACCTAAAATTGTCATCTGGGCACTTGGAGGGCTAATGCAGGAAAATCACAGGCCAGCCTGACTACATAGTGGCATTCTGTCCCAAATACCCCTACCTCCCTCCTCAAAGGAAAATGAACCCTGTAATCACCTGACGAGGTAGTAGGTGAGGCCAAATTCTGGAAGCGATTGCCATGCCTGGATGAACCGCAGCTTTGCTTCAACCAGGGACATCTGGGCCACATTCTGATGAGCTTCCAGGATCCGGGTGGCCAGCTAAGCACAAACAGACTCTCCTCAGTGGTTTTTAATCATCACACTAACCACAGCCCCAAACAAGAACACGCAATAAAAGCTCCATGTCCATTTCCAGGCAGATAATTCACTCTCATTCGTTCTTCCATTCTTTTTCTCCACTATGATTCGAGAGGAGGTACAAGTCAGTTAACACATTCATTTCTATGGTTCTTAAAAATGAGGAGTTAAGCTGCGTGCCGGTGGTGGTGGTTTATGCTTATAATCCTAGCTACTTAGGAGGCTGAGATCTGAGGATTGTGGTTTGAAGCCAGCCCAGGCAGAACAGTCCCTGTGAGAGTCTTATCTCCAATCAACCATGCAAAAACTGGAAGTGGAGCTGTGGCTCAAAGTGGTTGAGCACTAACCTTGAGCAAAAGAGCTCAGGGACAGGGCCAAGGCCCTGAGTTCAAGCCCCATAAAAACCAAGTGAAAAAGGGGGAATTTTGGGTTCCTCTTTTTGGGTTATGTGGAGTGTTCATGAGGGTAATCCTACCTTACTTACAAAGCTCATGTGTGCTGCTTTTATGGAGGCCTATGTTAATGTTTAACTTACAGAAACAAAATAATTTTATTCTTAATTAAAGTCAATCCAGGACTACCATCATGTTCAGACAGCGGCTGAGTCACCTCTCACCAAATGAACAGTAACTTACTAAAAGCATCTCATACCTAGAACATAGTTAAATTTCCCTAACAACCCAATTTTTAAGATTAGGGTCTTAAGTAGCTGGAATTCCTCCTTGTATTTCTGAACACAGGTCATCTAGGCAAATAAATGGCCAGGCAGGATTAGCAGTACCTGTTTAGACTTGTGTTTTTTGGCACACCGAGGAGACACAAAACACTCCGGGTTCATGTCCATGTTTTCAAGACTGGAAGCCATGTGAACAGAGGAGTTGCGGTTTTTCATCCTCAGAAAGGAAAGGATGTTGAGGACCTCGGGCTGGTAGGAGCTGTCTGCCATGGTTTTGCCCTTTGATGCCAAAATGCAGGCAGCCATCCAGCGGGCATATTGATTCTCCTGCAACAAATGGCAGAGGGCAGAGGAACAAGGTCAAGTGCAAAGCCAACTTTCTGTAATTCTAGAGCAAGGCTTGGGTTCTATGACACAACTCCAGGGCATCTATAGCTTTTGAGTGTTGTATTGAGTTTCTAGATGCTAAAGGGCTGAGAACAGCAATGGCAGCGTTGACCTATTTTGTTCAGAAAACTTTGCATTTGAAAACAACCCAAGGATTTTAGGCACCAGTGGTTCATGTCTGCAGTCCTAGCTACTCAGGAGGCTGAGATCTGAGAACTGTCATTCAAAGCCAGCCTAGGTAGTAAAGTCTGTGAGACTCTTATCTCTAATTCACTGCAAAAAGATGAAGTAGAGGTATAGCTCAAGTGGTAGAACACCAGCCTTGAGTGGAAAAGCTCAGGGAGGCACTGAGTTCAAGCCCTTGAATCAGAACAACAACAAAAAGAACCAAGAAACAAGAACCATCAAACACAGACAGGTAAAACCCAAAATTACCAGACAACTTCCTCAAATACGCATTTCCATTTTCATCTCATCTCTGATCTCTTTGGCAAAAGAAAATAGTGAAAATCATTAATCAATTTCCTACATTATCTATTTCCTAATCTTAAGGTAACCGTCAGGGATGTAACAGGATCTGACGGGGTGAGTGACAGTCTTTACTGTTGTACAATGTTTGTGCTTTTCTATTTTTATTTGTCTGAGACCCAGACTTGAACTTGATATCTGCTGCTTTTGATCACTGCCTAGAGCTCTACCAACCAAGCCAGGTCTCCAACCCCTCTGTGCTCACTTTTGACTTCAGGGAGTAAACAGTCCCAGCAGCTGCAGGATGCAGTGAATACAGAAATTCCTCACATCCCAGCAGGGATGGTACACTGTATTTCTGGTCTCAATTGCTAGCCTCCTGATACTCAGACCCTTTCCCATGGAACCCTATAGTCTAACTCCCAGCCTTTCATCTGTTTTCATGAATGGAGCCAATGGCATGTGTGTACAACTGATGGCAGGCCACATTTGGCAGCAAATGGGTTGTTTATCTATCTATCTAATGCATATCTATCATCACCATGACAAGAGCTCCCGCCTCCCTCCCAGATAACCTGGGGTCCAGAATAAATAAAATCAACGCAAACTAGACCTGTGGCTTAAAGCACATTTGACCAGCTAATACCAGCTTGAAAGGACAGATCCCTTGCCCAACTGTAGATCTTTCAGTAACAAATGTTGATTACTAAATGCCATTGTAATTTTGTCATACTGGGATAGTTGTTACAAAGCAGGAGCTGGCTGGCACAGTACTGCTCTATTTTGAGAAAGTAGCTCACAGAGATAGTTTGGTCTCTCCTTTACCAGGGATTGAGGTATGAGTTCTTCATTTTAGGATGTCCAAAAGCATGTATACAACCACTCGATTTCTCACTCAATCTATTACCCAATAAATTGCCTAAGATATTTAACATTTCATCATATAATAGTTTTTGTGTGACTGTAGACTAACATAATAAATGTCTGAAGCACGTTTAAGGTAGGCTAAGCTAGAATGTTCATAGATTAGGGGGAGTAAATGCATTTTGATGTCATGGGACTTTCAAGGTTTATTGGGCTCTAACACCATTGTAAGTAGAGGAACATCTGTATGGTTTGCTTTTTGGATTAACAAATGTGAAGTGAACTGTGAGTCTTTTTTTTTTTTAATCATCATTTTACTTACATGTTCACATCTCAAATATACTTCATTCATGCCATCAGCCACAGGGATTAGTAACTTGATTCCAAATTTTCTCCCAGCTACATTCACATCGGGCACAACTTCACAGCCTGAAGGACACAAGTCGGGACAAACTCGAGTTCTGAGAAGACTATGATAAATAACAGGCATGAATCTAAAAAGACTTTGAATATTAACCCTTCAGACTTACTTCTCTCTCCTGAAAAATGGCAGAACACGTATAGCATCAGTTAAAGGAAATAAAATAAGGCAGGAACAATTAACGTGGATAAAGAAAAATGACTTTCATCCAAGTACTAACCAGGCCCAATCCTGCTTAGGTTCTAAAATCAGATGAGATTGGGTACATTTAGGCTTGGTCTGGCTGTAGCCTAAAACATTTTTTTCCCTTAGCCGGGTGCTGGTGGCTCATGCCTGTAATCCTAGCTACTCAGGAGGCTGAGATTTGGGGATCACAGTTCAAAGCTAGCCTGGGTAAGAAAGTCCATGAGACTCTTATCTCCAATAAACCACCAGAAAACCGGAAGTAGCGCTGTGGCTCAAGTGGTAGAGCCTTGAGCTGAAGAGCTGAGGGACAGTGCCCAGGCCCAGAGTTCAGGCCCCATGACCAAAAAAAAAAAAAAAATCCCTTATGATTTCTTTAGATTAAAAAAAAAATCAACTGAATTCATTTTTCAAGCTGTTAGAACCTGGAGGTTCAAACAAACCCTGATTGTCATGACAGAAAATGAGTACACTGATTGCTTAAATATTTCAAATATGGTTATAGTCCCTTCCAGAGATAAGAATAGATACTCATGTGACACTGAATTAATGTCGCTATTCTTGGATTTATTTAATCAATTAATTAAGCAATATAGGGCTCTGTGCATGCTCAGTACACATTCTGTTGCTGAATCCATTTACCAGCCCAGACCTAACTAAATTCAGAAAGCTCCTCAGGACTTACAATGTCTCATGAGCTACATTTAACATACTCCAATCACGACAGCTTCATAGACTGGACACACTGGAAAAGAAAGGTCAGCAAAGCCAAGTGCCAGTGGCTAAGCCTGTAATCCTAGCTACTCAGGTGGCTGAGAACTGGGGATGGAGACAGAAATAAGAGACTCATCTCCAATTAACCAGCAAAAAGCTAGAAGGAAGGCATAGCTTGAGTGGTAGAGCACAAGGTCCCGAGTTCAAGCCCCAGTATTGGAACTTGTGTGTGTGCGTGCGTGTGTGTACATGCGCGTGCACATACAAAAGCCCACTGATGCAGCATTGCACAGATAACCACGTTTACTAGACCACCTTTAAGGTTCTCACTGAAGGAGGATAAAGGAGCTGCCATCCGAGAAGCAGTGATGTACAGAGACTCCTCTGGAAGTAAGTATCACTTTGTTTTTTTAAGGAATCTTGCTTCAGTCTGCTTGCCAACTCAAAGCCACAGTGAGATACAGAATGCTCTTACCTCTAAGGTTTAGTTTTTCTACTGGTTCTCCATGTTCAAGTTCCTTATTTTTAAAGTATGCTATAGATGTGTCTTTAAAGACAAACCAGTATTGCTTGAAAGCTTTTAATATTAGCTTCTTGGGCCTGCAAATTAAAGTACAATAAGCATTAAGGTACTAAATCCCACCACCCAGAACTGCAGACACATTATAAAATTTGACATTAAGGTGCTATACAGGTCTTGTGGATAATGTCCATTATTTAAAAAAAAAAAACAGAACACTTTTTGATCTCCCTCCTTCCCTCCCTCCCTCCTTCTTCCCTTCTTCCCTTTGTCTCTCTCTCTCTCTTCCTCTCCCCCTTTCATTTTTGGCAGTACTGGGATTTGAACTCAAATCAAAACTGGGTCTTGTTTTGGCTAGGCATTTGCTGTTGTGTAGATCAAATCCACTGAGCTGGATTCTCAGACTGATAATCCATTCCTAAGAGAGAAACAGGGGTGCTGCTATGGGATACAAAAATTCATGCCCGGGCCCAGGAGTTAGACCTCTAATCCACACTCTAGCCCTGCCCCTGCCTTACCCTGGACGTGTGGGCAAAAGAATCCACCTTCCTGGGCCGCGGGTAGCACCTTTATATGATGAAGAAGGTCGCAGTCTGAAACGTGCACACCTCTCATGGAGATGCAGTAAAGTCACCTGTGCGAGGGGCCTCCTATCATGTCTGACCCGACCCAAATGCTCAGTATGTTGTTCTGCTGTGCCTGGCAGACCCGCAAGACCTGGCACCATGGGGCGTCTCAGCATGTGTTCTTTTTCATTTCTTTTTTTTTGGGGGGGGTTCTCCTTTCCATGTTTTTTTTTTAATTGTGAAAATACCGTACAGAGGGGTTACAATTACATGGGCAAGATAATGAGTACATTTCTTATCAAGCATTGTTGCCTCCTCCTTTGTTTCCACTTCCTATCCCTTCCCATCTCCCCCATCCCCCACGCCCCTGCCAAAGTTGTAAAGTTCGTTTTTTGACATCACGACTTGTACATCTCATTGTTGCAATGGGTCCACCTGTATCCCTATGTAAACGATTTGTTTTTTCCCTTCCCCTCCACAAAGTATACCAACATCAAATACAGTGAAAACAGGGGTTATACTGTGGGGGAGGGGACATACAAAGCAACAAAGAAATCATCTTATAAATATGTTGGAAACAATTGCAAGAAAGAAAAAACATTTAAATACATATCTTAGGGTTCATTTTCCTGACATCACATTATCAGACCTTTTCTGCTTGACTCATACATATACTAGATATTGCAAATAAGGGCAACCATGGGACCTATGTTTCTTTGGGCCTGGCTTACTTCACTTAATATATTTTTTTCCAAGTCTTTCCATTTCCTAACAACTGGGGCAATGTCATTCTTTCTGATGGAGGCATAGAATTCCATTGTGTATATATACCACATTTTCTTGATCCATTCATCTACTGAGGGGCATCTGGGTTGG